ATTCGGGGTTTGACAACGTCTTTACACATACCGCCTTCATAACCAGAACATACCAAATCAGTCAAATTAGAAGTCAGAAATGAAGAGGTTAGAAAATTTATTTAGAAAGCTATCGAAATGTCGAGAAGTGTTTGTTCTTAGCTGGCTGGTAATAAAAAGGGACCCGTAACACGGCGTACCGACCCGTGAACTGGTGCAGGTGCTCAACCGAGCAACTTCAGTTGAGTTTTTCCTGGAAAAAATAGTGAGGTCAGTATCGTTTCGCTAGTCGTTGTCGACATGATGGGAAGAAGTTCTATTCATTCTGAAAATGTATCAACCACTTGCTGACACTGGGTGCATTCGCCTACCAAATCCACGATGTGCTGGTCTATACGAGGCCAATACGCGTGACTTCTAGCTATGGATCTCATTCGTTTCACACCAGGATGATCAATATGGAACTGCCCCAGCACCCTTGACTGTGGAAATTCTGATACAAGCACTCTGTCTCCAGACATCAGTCATTCATTTACTATATGTAATGAATCCCGACGATGGTAACGTTGTTTCATATCACCATGGAGTCCAGCGAACGGACAATTGTTGGTGACGTAGTTCATCGTTTTCTTAGTGATTTAGTCGTTCCTGGAAACAGCTTGTGTCTCAGATGATGAGATTGGCAAAGTAAAAACAGCAGGTATCAGGTAAAAGTGCGCGTGGTCTTCTGTCGAAAGGTAGGTGATAACCATATCTTCCTCAGCCGTAAGATGTTCACTGACAGGTCATGACAAGGCGTCTGCTCAACCAAAATGTTGGGCGCGCCGACAGTGAATTTCGAATTCATAACCCAAAAGTATCAAGGCCCGTCGCTGGAGACGAGAATGGGCTAGAGTTAACGTGCGAGATGCACACATAATAGCTTTTTCTGTCGCATCAGGGAAATGATGTGAGATGGTAGCACGGAGTCCAAAAGCTGGAGCGTCTTCAGTCACGATGATCGACATGAATGTACTGTAGTATATTAGTGATAGTTCTGATAAACGTCGACGCGAAAACATGGAGCGTACTTTTTTTAATCTCTCTGTAACCTTGGGTCGATTAAAAAAGACATTGAGGGAACGTCATAGTAAATCATGTCTTCAAAACAGGTTACATACTTGCTTACCCCTCTTGGAGGAACAAAGGCAGCCCACCAACATTCCTCGTCGAAATTTGTCATCGGCCAGCCTTTTCCAAACGTCTATATATGATATATGGCAACGAGTTCCATTCAATTGATTATTCAACTATCCATAATGTGATTTGGTCTGTGCGCGACCGGTCCTTATGGAATTAATTCTGTTGATCACGAAGTTGAATGTCTACCGAATTGTTCACCCAATTCAGCAATACTCTTTTGAAAACTTCCCCTGGTAGCGATATTATTGTGATGTCTCTGTCGTTCGCACATTTGCTGAGACCTCCTTTCTTCTGCATATTGATGAGATTCCCTTCTCTCCAGTCTGTCAGTGGTACTTGTTCTTCCTCTCAAACCTTCCTGAATAGAACGTGGAGCGTGTTTGCAGCTGCTTCTATGTGTGAATTCAGTGCTTCAGCCGGCATATTGTCAGGTCCTGATGCTTCCTCACTCTTCGTTTGTCTGGTGACCATCCTGGTTTCTCTGATTGTCGGTGGAGTGACATCTGTAGGAATGTCTGTGGGTGCTGCTTCGATGTCCGGTGGATTCAGTTGAACCGGCCTATCTAAGTGTTCCTCAAAGTGTTTTACCCATATGTTCCGCTGTTCTTGAATCTCAGTGATTGTCTCGCCTCGTTTGTCCTGACTGGTCTCTCTGCTTTACTATATTATGCTGCTAGTTTCTTCGTTGTGTCATATAGTTGTTTTATATTTCCTTCTCTTGAAGCTTTTTCCATTGTCGTTGTGGTGGACCAGACGATGTATAAACGTAAAAAGTATCAACAAAGTTATTAAAGATCATAGTAATATTAATATATACCAATTAATTGTCACAAATACAATAAAAATTGGGACTTTACTTAAGTTCACCAAATTGATGCGCGTTCAGTTTTAGTCTGGTCCACAATTATAAATGCTTGGTAATTCCAATCAGGTTAACGAACTCTCCAGTAGTGTAATACAATGTAAGGTATGGTATATATCCACTCACAGTCTATAAATGTAGGTAATATTTGATTTAGATTTCAGTTAACTCAATCACAAACGAAAATAGAATGAGGGATATGTGTGTAGCAATGTATTTGTTAGCAAGCAACAGTATGTCACGCTATGTAGTTACACAACGGAAAGTGTGTTCAAGGTCATTCACTTAAACAACACGTACAGTCATTTAATGACAACTGTACATACAGTGAAAAATTGACAAAATAAATACAAATAACATTAAAAACTATTTACAAAATAGGCTTGTCAGGTCTATCTCCACACCGTTGCTAGCTTTTTCACGCCTTTCAGCTTGTCAAACTTTGACGTTCCTCCTCATATGCTTGTTTGCTTCCGTGTGTTCAAATAATTTTATAAATGAATCACCTTATCACGAATGTTGGGATTCAGTCATGTCTGCCTTATGAGAGCATAACATAAGGATATCTGGTTTTTCCAATTCAAGATACTGATTTAAAAGAGGTAACGAGGATTTGAGATTTATGATCACTGAATACTTCATGTATTCTTCTTAACCATTCACATGTGTAGCGTTGTATTGTGGTGTCGAGTCGAGGTTGACTATCATTACCATTACACTGAGACTACGTGCCAGTTACTGCGTTAGATCTCTTCGTAGGCCGAAAACCAGACGACAATCGACGGTTGTAATAAAATATTTTTGTTGGAAATTTCGTGGAATCAAAAGAATACCGAGATCGCGTCAAAGAGTACGAGTGGAACTATTGAACGTTTACGAGGGCTTGGAAGGTCACAGTCACGGAAGAGTGTATGTTTTTAGTACAGCTAAACAAACAAGTACAGTAAAACAATCACTGCTACAACTGGTTACAATAATAATTGTTCCCGTTATACCGATCGCATTCTCTTGATAAAAGTAGCTCACTACACATGTATAACCATACTCTTTTAGAGGGTTATTTTACATTGGTTTTCAGGAGAATCAGACACTATGACCTGGACAGCACAGTTAATCCTTCGGAGCAAAAGGTGCCAAGTACTCTGGTGGACTATTTTAAACCATATGGTGTAACAAACAATTTTATGTCATATTAATGAGATAACAAACATCATTTAATTAATAGTATGGATAATCGTTCTCTGTTCATGCATTGAAATGATTTAAAGTTAACTGTATGTCATTTGAAATGTTTTTAATGGACACAGGTTCGTATCATTCTGTCATAATTGTTTGGTTAAGGACGGTGCCATAATGATTTATGTTATCGAAGGCAAAACAAAGACAGTTCAGTGAAAATTTTCTTCTCGACAATGTCATTTACTAAAGCTTTACGAACATATTCATAGTTATTTAGTAAACTTAGGTCTTTAATAAAATAGATGAATACTGCACCAGTGAAAAAATGAAAGGTGTTTAAAAGTATCAATAAGTGCGTAACACACCTTAATTGAAATGTTTTGTAGAAGAAAGTAATTAACTTCAAGTGTTAAGAAACTGTTTATAAAGAACGATGATGGATTAAAATATTCGGAAAATCGAATATTTAGTAGATATTTTCCAACGATTTAACGGTTGATTAAAAAATGTTGATTACGATAGCACAAATATACGAGTAATACTATATTTGATATGATCTAGATAAAGTTTTACTCTAAACATAATAGTTATATGAAAATTATTAGATCATTCAACGAAAATCACGAATCAATATTGATAATGTAGCACATTACATAACTAGATCACCATTGAAAACCTGGAAGCACTGAACAGTCGCTTCATCCGAGTATGGAACTCCTTAGCAGTGTGCATCACCGAGACCATGGAAATGACCTGGGTTCGAGTCTAGCATGCGGGAATGTGGATACGAATCATTGAGGATTCCCATACTCTGACGAAACGACAGTCCAGTGCTTTCAGGTTTTCAATGGTAGCTTAGCTAAGATCAGTTCAGTATTTCAACTGTGAGAATACTACAGTCTTCACAAATCCTCCGTACTCATTTTGAATAAAGCAAGAACAAGAAGAGCAGCATAGTAAGGCAAAATTTTATTCTAGTATGGCATTACTCTGGAGTGCCCATCAACGGTCCTCCTGTAGTAAACGAGAACACCAGTTGGGACAACTAAATGTATTCAAACACAAAATTACAGAATCTCTTAGTAAAATCTGAGAACCATACAGTAAATACTTTATTTGCGAAATGTCAATCAGTTGTCTCAGATTTGATTGTTCCTTCGTTTCCACGCCAACCGTTCTCTGTTTTCGTTTTCTTTTCTTAAATCTTAACCTTCTGCCACCAGGCATTTCACTTTCGATTGATGATACATACTACTTATATCTGTTGACATCAGTAGCACACACCACACTACCACATCTGTAGTGTATAACTAATAAGACTGATCTTAACAGAGGTTATTGTCACGACAAATATGAACATTAGTATTTTCTCAAATGTATATGTGACATAAATACTTTATTATGTCAATCTTTTATATAGTCCGAAAGTTTCTAAGTGAGTCATGCTAAGTATATAATCACTGAATATAGTTAAATCACACGCATCAATCCTTTTTGGTGTACACATGTGTTTGTGTGTCTGTGCATGTATACACAGTTGGAAGTGATCACACTTACACGCACATAGATAATCACATGTGTATACTTTACTTTCAGTTACCCACTTACAAGTAATAAACAGACAACTATCGAGAAACAAATCACTGTGACCAACCATATTTCAATGAAAGATTCAAAATAAATTTATAAATTGAATATTCTGTTAAAATGCATCCTAATCAAGGAATAAATCATTATACGCTTCAATAATTATTCATTTAATTACTAGGATATATATCATACAAGTTAATCTAAAATCATGGTACTTAAGTTCGGTCCAGATAATCCTCCAATTGTTATTGACAACGGAACAGGATTGTTGAAAGTTGGCTATTCTGGTGAAATGGAACCACGAGCAGTCGTTCCCATGATCCTCGGTCGACCCAAACATATGAAAGTTATTGCTGACAGAAATTCTGACGAATGCTTCGTCGGTGATATAGCCGGTGGTAAAAGAGGTGCATTAACTTTATCTTATCCAATGATGAATGGTATTGTACAAAATTGGGATGATCTAGAAACTATCTGGCAACATGTCTTTACCAATGAACTACGTGTTCTTCCTGAGAATCATCCTATGCTTTTGACTGAAACACCATTGAATCCTAAAGTAAATCGTGAGAAAATGGCGGAAATTATGTTTGAACAATTTCACGCACCAGCAGTTTATATCTCAATTCAAGCTATTCTCTCACTTTATGCTTCAGGTCGTACAACTGGTTTAGTATTGGACTGTGGAGAAGGCGCTACACACTTGGTTCCTGTATTTGATGCGTATGTTATTCCGACGGCTATTCACCGAAGAAATTTAGCAGGACGTGAAGTAACCAACTATCTTAAACATTTACTCACTGAAAGAGGTTACAAACTGATTACAACATGTGAACATGAAATTGCTCGTGATGTAAAAGAAAATCTTTGTTATGTTGCCATGGATTACGGCAAAGAACTACAATTTAGCCAAGGAGATAAAAAGATGTACGAAATGACGTATCGTCTACCTGATGGTCAGCTGTTAAATATTGGTAGTGAAAGGTTCCGTGCACCTGAATTGATGTTCGATCCCAAGTTAGCTGGTTACGAAATGAATGGAATTCACACTGCCACAAATGAAACTATACTGGCTTGTGGAATGGATGTCAGAAAGAGTTTTTGGTCAAATATTATTCTTACTGGTGGAGGTACAATGTTTCGTGGTTTCCCGGAACGACTACGTAAAGAATTGCATCGTCTAGCCCCAAAAGGTGCTACAGTAAAGGTGATGGCATCTCCTGAACGAAAATACTCAGTATGGATTGGTGGTGCTGTTTTAGCCTCTTTAAGTACTTTCAATGAAATGTGGGTAACGAGAGAAGAATATAACGAATTTGGTTTAGAAATTGTACATCAGAAATGCGTTTAATTACATGGGAACACCGTAATATGTGTTTAATTTGAGAATTAGTGAAAAAAAACAGTACATAAAGGTAGTTTCTTTCAGTCATTGTTTGTACAATTGTATGATGCTACACTTGTGCATAGTAGTTGATTTAAATGAAATGTTTCGAATTTCTACATTTCTATCAACAGTTAATATATAAAAATTCCACAACCCAGGGAAACAATTTTACTTCATAAATGCTTATTACTCACAAGTAGTTTAGGTTTGTTTACATACCATACGTCCAATGTAATTTCATGTATTTTGCAATATATTTTCCCATATGATGTTTGAGACTTTGCTCATAAAATGCCTAATTTAAGTTTTCACTGAAAGTGTTATCCATGGGAAAAATTAGGGTTAGATGATTTCTTTTATTATTTTCAGTAAAGGAATGGACTAAACATCAATTAATTAGTCGCATTACCTAGAATCAACTAAAGCGATCTAACATCGTTTCTAACACTTGTCTTAGGCTTATTAACTGTCTTGGAAATCCATACTTATAACATTTAAAACTTCGTACTTATATCCTAGTTAACAAAATGCTTTTAGGTAAACAGTAATTTCTGATCCAAACAGACCAGTTAAAATAACTTCATCAAGGAATCGATGTATGAATTTACCATTTCCGAATCAAGCAACACAAGATGTATAAATGCCCAATAAATATAAGGGACTCAAAAAAGAAACACACGTAACCCTGATATATATGAGACAAAACATCTTGAAAAGCGGATGCAGAACGAGACCCAATCATCATAATTTCCGTCTATATGAATTCTTTATTCCGTTAACAGTAGCCTGGATACTAAATAAGGTGATTTCTGTATCGCTCACCAGTGAAATAGTTTGACTTGATGGTCCTGTAGCTGAATTATTCATGGATACAGGCTAAAATTCTAGAATACTAGACTTTAGCAAGGTAGCTAAGCGCCATTTGTTTAAAAAATGTTATTGTCTATATACTGTTATGCACACCAAGACATAACAGGACAAAAACAAATTACATTAAATATTCATACCCAAAACATTAAACTGGTGATTTTAACGGATTCACGGACAATCTCCATTAAAATTCCTCTTGTTTACGTAAACTGGTCACGGAATCGTGATCAACTTCACATTACATGATTCTCAACAATGTTTCATTTCCACATAAATTAAATTCCTAGTACGTGACATAAAGCTGAGTTGACAATGCGATACAATGCTATCAGTGTTTCAGTCTGGATTTATGTTTTGTAGTATTCAAGTGGCAGGATTTTGTAAATATCTGGAAAAGTAATGCGACCTCTATGCGTCTCAATATCATTACCAAGAAAAGTTAAAAATGCAATCCATGAGAAATTAAAATTTTGAATTTAATACAATAATTTAATTTCTATATGGTAACTAAAATGACGTTAAGATATGGGTTTAAGTTGGAAAAAATGTCAAAATTTATTTCATGAGGGTACTGAAACACATATTTACCTTCTTGTCAATAATGAGATAAAGAAAAAAAGCAGTAAAATATTTTAGTACTCGGTTTACTACCTTTTCACAACTTAATAAAAAACCCTAATGTCTCTATACTCGATACATTTTAGGGAGATTTTTATTTTCAATAATGGTTTTATTACATTGTTACATTCCCTAACTACGACACAGACAGATTGTAGAAAGTTCGTCCAAAAATAACACTCGATTACATAAAAATATATATGTAAATGTAATTTGTTCGTTATAATTAAAGATATATTAAAGTGAATCGTATGGAATGCACAATCGACTCCATTTAAATAGTCTGGCGGCGTGATGATTTATCACAAAAATCGAATTGTCGACGCTTAATGTCCACTGAAGGTTTTACTAAAGATAGAATTATTGACCAATGAAGGGAGTCGTTTGTATAACAAAATTACATCGTTATATGTGAAGTGTTTTAGACGAAATAAACAAAATTAAAATTCTTGTAGAACATAAGTGGGTGTAGAATTTGGATTCCGTATCACAAGCCTATGTAAAAATATTAACCACTATGTTGAATATTTTGTGCTGAACTTAAAACTAAGCTCAATCTAAGAAAGACATTCCAAGATTCAACATCCAACTCTTAAGTTAATTATCTCTCAATGTAATAAGCGTAACTGCGGTACCATTAAATCTGTATTAAGTAGATAATTTTAGTGGTTAGATATAAAATGGCTTAGTATCAAGTTGTGTATCATTTTATTTCATTATTAAGCCAGGAAAAATTTTCATTTAAATGAGCTGGAGCAAATAATATATCTAATAATTTACTAGAGATTATATGAATATGAAACAAGTACTTATGATCTCCTAACATTTTTTGTTTTGTTGTTTCGCTTCCGTATTGAATAAAAGTGAAGTAATACATTGCTGAGAGTATGCAGTATTCTCTCTAGAAACAAAATTTCCTTTTAGCTGTAATTAGTTATATTTCAATATTCTCAGTCAAAAAAATACCTTAGAATTCTCATGAATGTACTACTTACTATTTACAACACAAATATGAGTAGTAAGCACCAAATTAATGTCTGAATATAAAAATATCCATGAAGTTAACTGAATGGTAAAAAAATTAAAAAAACGATTGAAAAATTTACTTGTTTTTTAGAAGAAATGAATTCAATTAATTGTACCAGTAGGGCTTTCTAGTTATTTAACTAACTAGATTAAAATCTTATTTGATGCATACGGATTCAGTTTTTGACAATGATTCCTAAGAATATGGATTTATAATCATTAGTTAATGAACTAAATAACAGCTATGATCACACTACGTAAAAATCAGTAAAAAATTAGAAATATATTAATTAGCTTCCTGTAATCGTTACTGCGTTAAAAAAACTATTCAAGTTTATCTCTCTTAAATTAAAATGAAATAAAAAGTTCATTAACAAGATTATGTCACTTTTATCCAAAACGTATTCAAACAGTTATTTTAATAGTTGAATTCATGAGTTAATTCAAGCGAGACCACAATGGAAAACCTGGAAGCACTGGACGGCTGTTTCGTCCTAGTATGGGTTTTCTCAGCAGTGGACATCCACGAACCCGTCCACGGGATTTGGACCTAGAACCTGACGGCCTCGCGCACAAACACCGGACCTCTAGACCATTAAGCCGGCATCTGGCGGTGTTAATGTCTAACTTCAACTAATTCGCGAAATTGCACCACCGTCCACCATTGTCTTTATGCATGCTATAATATTCACAAAATTCCCTTTCTGATAATTATTTTAATATCAGAATGAGTTTTGTGGAGATTTTAGTAAATTTCACAGGTTGAAATCATGAGTCAGTTGAAGCTAGACCACCATTGAAAACCTGGAAGCACTGCTGAGGAGTCCCATACTAGTACGAAACGGCCGTCCAGTGCTCCCAGGTTTTCAATGGTGGTCTAGCTTCAACTGATTCATGATTTCAACCTGTGAAATTATTCTAATGTTTAATTTCAATTTCTTTAAGTACTCATCATGCTTAAGATTTTTTTTCTAAGCGAACTTCTTGTTTGAGCGATTTCAGCAAAATAAAATTATGTTTACGCAACTATTAACTTATTATTGCCGATAAACCTACTTTTTTTCAACACTCTTATTGTCTCAGATAGAATCTCATGATGAATATATCGCAAACATTTCCGATGTTTTACTTCAATTTACTATACGCTACTCTGTTTGTAAATAAGACTTTCGATGTCTGAACAGAGAGGTTTCATGATGATCAACACACTATCCAGACTCTGTATTTCTAGTCCCATATAAGCTTATTTGGAAGTGTACATCTGAATATTCGTTCAATGAAATGCTACTTATTAAAATGAGTCCTTAGGTTTTTTTTAGAAAATGAGTAATCTTTACATGATGTGTATGTGTGCATGAATCAATAGTTATTTGAATAAACCCAAGAAAGTTTCTATCCTGTCATACTGAATAGTTAAATAGACATTATTTGACCGCCATTCAAACCAATAAAATCATTGGGAAATACAGGACCAATATTTTCACGATATAAATTTCTGAAAATATACGAAATAATATTTGCTCCATTAATTCCTTTAGAAAATGAGAAAACTAAAATTTAAAACAGTATGCCATTATGCAGTACACTGCTCACCAAACATTACTGTATATTTTGAATTCAATTATTTTATTAGTGTGGTATTGCTAAATGATTGTAATATGATTGCGACACAAGCAATAGCTAAGAGACTCAAAGGTATATACGAATTTACCATTAAACTAGTAGAATTACTGAAAAACAAGTTTTCATATATATGGTACTTGTTGCTTTAAATAAACCTCCCAATTTATTCATATATCCCGCAGTAACCACAAAACAAATACTCGTTGATTTCCTGTTCCGATTAAGTATTACATCAGATTAGAATTACATTAGTTGATCAAAAAGCACACTAGTTGTGCACAAATTTAAATCAATCATTTAATCAATAAATCAGTTACATCAGTCAGACAAGGTTAAACTATACTTTAAAGGCTGATAAACAACATTGAAGATGGAATGTTACTGAGTGAGAAAAACATAGGTATCATTGTATTATCACATTCTTTACTACCTTTTTTTTAAAATTTTGTTTAAATACTTTAAAAACATAATAAGCTGAATGTTGTTCATCAGATTAATGTTTCTATGTGACAAATATTATATGTGAACAAATGTAATCTACTCAATTTCTATCTTTAATGACAAGAAAACAATATTTACTACATAGTAAAAAGGAATTTAACTATTTAGGCTGATCAATATATGTTTTATGTGATAATTCAATGTTTGAAAGTTTTCTTAACTGAAAATCAATTGAATAATATAAACATAGATGAGTAAAAGTTATTCATTAGTTCATTATTATTCCTAAATATGTTTCTCCCCCCTCCGACTTCATTTTTCCTGATTGAATGACTAAGATCTCTATGGCAACTGAGATTCAATTCTTTGATTGTCATGTTAATTAT